CTTATCGAATTCCATATCCAAGGCCTGGATTGTCTTTATCATATCCATCATCTTTGTGTTTGTTTTCCCTTGCATATTTCATGTCTTCTAAGCCAGTATCATGTGCATAATGCTTAAGACACTGTCGAGTTAAGTTCTGCTGCCTGTTGGAGATGTTGCCTAATACCCATGAACCACAGCTGTATCAGCTTCTGGCTGTTCTTGACACAGATACACTTTCCTAGGCAGTTGTTTTTGAGGAGCAGAGAATTCCTTCAGCTTAGATTCTCTTCCTTTAAATGAATTTGGATCCCCCCAAGAATGGAACATCTTTTTTCTTGTCCCAGTACAGCACTGGAGGTTTCACTACAATGGTGCTGATCTCAGTTACAACTGCTTCTCAATTACAGCTGCACTGGCCTGAATAGCACCTGCCTTGAAATTCTCTCCATCAAACAATCCTGTCCTCCATCTTTATACTGAACCACATTCAAGCTCTCAGGACATAGGCAAAATGCAGTCAGATCCTTGGCCAGAATGCCATATGAATGGGTCCTAGTCCAGTTCTCTGTTCCTCTCTGAAGCCTCATGCGCTGGCCCTTTACTGCCTGCCATCTAAGCTGGCAGCAGGATGACCATTGAGCTCTGCTTCCAGCATTCCATTTCTCTAGCCCAGAGTACCGAATGCTTCCATATCCCAGTCAAAACATCATTCAAGCGGCATGAGAAGTGCAGGTTAATCACAGCAGCGGCACCACTTCTTGTCACCAATTTCTGTTCTAGTTTTGCTCCCTGTTGTTGTGACAAATTACTCTGACAAAAGCAACTTTAAGGAAGGGGGGTGGTATTCAGTCTACAATTCCAGGTTATAGTCCATCTTTGTGGGAAAGTCAGGGCAGGAACCTGACTCCTCCTCTTCCTCCTTCTTTTCCTCTTCTTCCTCTTCCTCTTCTTTTCGTCTTCCTCTTCTCTCTCTCTGGTGTGTGCACGCGCATGTGAATTCAGGTGCCTGTGGAGGACAGGGAAGGGTATCAGGTCACCTAGACCTGGGTTATGGGCGGTTGTGGACCAACCAGCATGGGTGCTGGAAACTTTACTTAGGTCCTCCACAAGAGCAGGTTTCTCTTAACTGCTGAGCGATCTCCCCAGCCCTCTGCTAGTTTCTTAGTGTAAGTCTATATAAGTCTATATACAGGCCAGAAGGAAAGCCAGAGATGTGACTAAAATCAATGTGGCATTAAACTGCTAATTTCTTTTGTTCATATATAATACAATAACACATTGTAGGATGGAGATTCTAACTAGAATTTTATTTTATATAGATATGACCAAGTGTCATAATCATAAATAGAATATAGTCAACTGCCACTTATATTAATCGACATTTTCATGCAACCTACAGGAAACACTGTTAAGAGCTGACTCATTCACATGAATGAGTGAAAACAATAGTAGAATCATTGTTCTGCCATTTGCTGAATCAGATATGAAATTCCCTTTCAACCTGTTTTTTGTCAATAATTGGAATTAAATCAGTAACAGCATAAAATGAAATGTTGTCTATAATTGGCAATGTAGACAAATCACACAACATCTAAGAGTAATATGGAAATTTTTTTGTAATATGGAAATTTAAAGGAAAACTTGCTCCATGGTTAGTTGAAATGTGTAATCTGCAGTTCCTTATAAGTCATCACAATGAAGTCATTTGTCAATTAACTATGCACGGTGTTTCATAAACTACCAAAGCATAGCCTTTCCTCAAAGAATTTTGATAACTGTAATTCATTCATAAATATGACTGCAGTTTCCAAGTGATATTAGTATATGAAAATACAAGTTGTTAAACATCAATATGCAAAATCTGCTCCATTTTTTGAAAACCTAGTGCCTCTTGCATTGGAAATAGTATGAAGTAATTCACACTGAAATATTTTATCACGGATGAGATTACAGGCTCATTTACTAGTTGATATCTTTTTTATTACCTGGTAATTTTTTAAATCGCTTGGGTTTTTTATTTGTATTTATTTATTTAATGTGCATGGTGTTTTGCCTAAATGTACGTCTGTGTGAGGGTGTCAGGTCCCCCAAACTGGAGTTAGATAGTTGTGAGCCACCATGTGGGTGCTGGGAATTAAACCTGGGTCCTCTAAAAGAGCAGTCAGGATTCTTAACTGCTAAATCATCTCTCCAGCCTCCTTAAATCACTTGTTTTGAGTTAGAAAAATAATTTTAATAAATGAGAGGGGCTGGGAAGGGTAGCTCAGTTGCACAGGGCTTGCCACATAAGCATGAGAATGCCCTAAGACCGTGAGCCTAGATGAGTATTTCCTCCTGGTGTGCGGTGAGTACTTTGGTGGGAGCAGAAGTAATGCAGACAGTCTCCCATGTGTTCTGACTTGAGGGAGAAGTCTGAAACTACCAGTACAAATTGTCATGATCATCCCAAGTAGCCATTGGACACAATTAGAAAGAAACTTTGTAAATTAAGCAGAGAAGCTTACTAACCATTATAAGGAACAAAACATAAAACTTACATTTCCCAGCTTTGTTTTCTGAACTTTGTTTATGGCATTTCCAGTGAAAACCGCAGAGGAAAACGATCAAAAGTGATTGAAAGAGGTGCAGGTCACCAGGCAGGCAGAGCTTTTGGTCTGAGTGTCGAGACCCAGAAGGATTCTGAGCAGATCTCTGCCAACCTATGAGTGTAACAGTACCTTTTCTAGTTGTTATGACCAAAGACCGGGCAATCGAGAAAGGGCTTATTTTGGCTCACATTTGAGGGTTCAGTCCATCCTGGCAGGGAGGCGTGGGAGCAAGGAGGCTCTGCCCCATGGCATATGAGCATGAGCTCCTCTCACATTTCAGGGAACCAGGAAACAAAGAAAGGGAAATACTGGTGTTCAGCTGGCTCTTTCCTCTTTCTCTCTACCCAGTCTGGGGCTCCAGCCATCGGATGTTACCACCCACACTCAAGGCAGGCACTTCCCCTTTGAATAATCTTCTCTGGAAGAGACACGAAATAGTAGACTGCATTAACGCCCTAGTTGTTCCTTGTTCCAGTCAGGTTGACAATCAGAATTCACCCCCATAAATGTTGATGAATGAGTGAACTTAGAGTTTACTTATCAAATTCCTAAAACTAAAAAAGTGGCCAGTCTTGGGGCTGGAGAGATGATGGCTCAGTAGTTAAGAGCACATACTGCCCTTGCAAGGGGCTGACGTTCAATTCTCAGCACCTATGTTGGGTGACTCATAATGGCCTGTAATTCCAGCTCCAGGGGAACCAACACTCTCTCCTGGCCTCCGTGGGCACCTGTATTCACATGCATTTATATTCACATTCCCATCAATAAAAAGAATAAAATAAAAGCTGGGTGTGGCACCATATATCTTTAATCCTAGCACTCCGGAGGCAGAGGCAGGTGGATGGCTGTGAGATTGGTCAACCTGGTCTACATGGTGAAGTCAAGTCCAGGGCAGAAGGAGTGGCATAGTGAGACCCTGACTCAATTAAATAAAATGACTTTGAGGGGCTGAGGAGATAGCTGTGTTAGTGGATAGCTCCGCTGGGAAGTGCTTTCCACGCAGCCTTGAGGACCCGAGTTCCCTCTCCAGCACCCATGTGTATAAGACAGCAAAGCAGTTCCCCTCTGTAATCCTGGCATTGGGGAAGCACTGACTAGAGGATCCCTGAGACTCACTGGCTAGCTAGCTTAGCCAAATCAACAAGCCCCAGGTGTAGGGTAAAAGGGCCAGCCAAAGAAACATACCCTGGCCCTGAAACCAAAGCCAAAGAAACACGCTTTGGCCCTGAAACCAAAGCCGGTGAAAGAAACACCCTGGCTGTGAAACCAGAGCCAAAGAAACACACTCTGCACCTGACCAACAGCACAAAAACCAACCAATCCCTGAGCACGAAGTCCAGCCAATCTCTGAGTTTGCCGGAGCTCAGGGATTGAAATCTGACCAATTCCCACCCTGGGAAAACTGCCCCAGGAAGTCCTATATAAGCCCTGTTCCTGTTCAGTTGGCGGCTGCCTTTTTCTACACTGGCAGATACACTAGATTCTTCTCTCTCAAAAATCTCTTGAATCGAGGTTTGGGTGAAGACCTTCTTTCGCCCAAGTGGGGCGGAGTATAGAAGTAAGAACTTGAAGTATCAACTATTTTCAGTGGAGGCAGAGAGCAGAGCAGAACTGTAACACTTTCGCTGGGGAAAACCCTCTCCTTCCCCTAGCAGAGCCAAGTTGTTACACTCCGAGGTCCCTGAGCAGAACTGCAACAACTTCGCTGGGAAAACCCTCCCCTGCCAGAGCAGAGTTGTTACATTGGGGAAGCCTTTCCCTGGAGCAGGGCTGTAAGCTGCCATGCTTAGGTCACATTGTGGTATTTCTTGGCTCCCGACTGCCAGGATCCCTTCCCATCCAAGCTTACACCAGATCCTAGTGAGTGACCTTGTTCTAAACAACAAGGTGGGTGGATAGTTTATGAGGAATGACACCCAAGGTTGACCTCTGGCCTCCACATGCACTCAAACACATGTTTGAATGAAAAAAATGAAATAAAAGGAGGAGGACATGACTACTGAAGTGTGGAGGTTTTTATTGTAGCTATAAGGGAGAAAGCAGGCAGAGGGAGGAGTCCAGGTTGAACATGGCCAACAGACTAAGCCTGACCATGAGAGGAGAACGGGGGAGGGAGAGCAAGAGAGGAGCCACCCACCAAGAGCCAAAATTGCTGAGTTATATGGGGATCAGGTTGGGGAAGGGAACGCAGAAACCCAGCTCCTGAGAGGGAGAGGTTTAGGGTAGGGGGTGGGGTGAGAAGTGTTGGGAGGAGCCACAGGTACTGAGGGATGCTGGGAGAGCTGGGAGGAGCCACAGGTACTGAGGGATGCTGGGAGAGCTGGGAGGAGCCACAGGTAC